TGTGAGTGCAAGAGCAGCTTGTTGTCCTGCTTGCTTCAGAGTGCGAACATTGAAAGCGGCCAGATAGAGTGGGTGTCGAGGCTTGAGGACTGATTTGGAGATTCCTGAAGATGTCGGCACCATGTGACGAGCAGATGCTGCACGCAAAACCGATGCATGACGAACGGAGTCATCACGATTGAGTACGTATTACGTGCAACAGCGCAGTCAATGCGTGTCGATGGACAAGGATGAATCTGCCGACATCTGTGTGGTTTTTCTTTACTCGCAGTTGCGCACAGTTACACCACTCAGGAGGTGTTGTTTCCATGGCCGGAAAAACTGAGGGCTAAAATTGGCTGATGCCGTCAGACAGACCTGTCATAATCTTGCAGCAAAAAACGGCGACCCTGTGTAAGAGAACACTCCTTAGGATAGTTGCTAATAATAATCGCACTATCCCAATCAACTCAAGAATATCACCAGAACATATGATGAGAAAGGAGATGTGGATTTTGGGAGTGAGTGAGGGAAACTGGTAGACTGGTTAGGTGGATAACATTTGGGATACGTGTTACAGTGTGCTCTGGTGAATTTGAGGTTAAAAAGAGGTCAGGCCTTTTGGAACTAACACTGTAACAATCAGGAACTCTGTTTGGAAAGCATACTAGTTGTGTAAGGACATCATCCGACATGAGCTACAGTTGTGAGATAACCGTCATGAGAGAACTAGGGATGTCTCAGTTCTACTGCAATGTCCCACAACTGTATATAAAAAACCCACATTACTACCTGACGTACACCCTCGTGATTCCCCAAGCTGTTGCTGTCACAGATGTCATAAATTTGGACGCGATCTGAGCTTCAGGCGGCCAAAAACGGCTTTAAAGTACCTTGGTCTTTCTATAACCTCAAGTACCTCTTCTTAGTGTGTTTACTCACTACATATACAAGAGTATGACCGTGCGTTCTGCATGTGCGAGGCACATGCCACAGAACGAAATCATTTATTGAGTCATCGAACAACAGGTTTGTCCTCGAACTTTATCATTTGCATGTTCTTGATCAGTACAATTTTTGCTGGCCAATACTTGAACACCAGCATTTTGGAGACCTTCCGGCGTTCACATTATATTCTCATCGGTCACAAACTTGAAGAAAAATGGACGACATGGACGTCCTTGTTAGACAACAGTTTAAGGGAGCTTTTACAAGGCTTCTGGCACGAGGGTCTTTCCCTTCTGAGCAAGCGAAGCAGGAGACCGGAAATTCAAGAATACAGATGTGGATCGCCTCAGAGTGTAAAACTATTGATGGAGTACGATGTTTTGGTCACCGCAGCCTCCATCAGGCTACTCTTATTCTGATGTTTCAAGGATCATCATGGGATGACAAGCGTTCACTGTCACCCGATTTCGGGGCTTGGGATTGTCCTGCATAGAAGAAAGGCTATACAGTGAGAAGGAGAGGGCAAAGTCACAACAGGAAGAGAGGTGTCGAATTGAATTCGCCCAATGAACCAACCAGATACAAGCAACTGAGATAATCACACAACTCATACTCCAAGTTAACCAACTAGATTACGTTCATAAACCATATAGGAGCAATCGGACTTACCCATCAAACTTCGCGCTGACTATGCTACCTTGATTAGTGATGAAATGTTTGCAAGCCACTCGCCAAAATTCGCTAACAGACCAGATGGCCCAGTAGTGTGAGCGCGAATTCACTGACCGGAAGGTCCGTGTTTCGAACCAGACCTCCGCCTCTCGATTTCTTCTGTCTAGGCTTGGGCAACCTGGCACTATCCCAGCCCTCATGCTTCCTTCTGGTGGCATGACAGTCAGGCATCGAAAGGGTGCTACAGCTGAACGGTTGCTTTAGCAGACCAACAACCCAACAACTAGCTGAGTAACTTTTATCTGGCAATTAGTCAGATTAGTATTATATGATCCTCCATAATGAATCACGGGTTAGCTCAAATAACCTCGAATAACCCATCTTCATTGTTTGCTTTTCCCCGCACTGCTTGAAAAAGACGGTTGTTTCGTTCAGCAGTCCCTGAGTAGTGTTCCCAGATGTAGAATATCAGCGGACTCATTGGTGCTTGTCATAACTTCTCCCTAAGAATCCTTTCAGAATCCACCACTCACTCTATCCTCTTCTGCCCAAGACCACTCCGGCTACTCACACTTGCTTAGAAACTAGATACTTGTTTTCCCGTGGTTTCGTGTTCCCATAAATGGTTGACTCCCGGTTAGTGGTACCTGTTGATGAACACTCGGGCATCCATCGAAATTATCTATATGCGACAAATTTCTGCGTGCTCCGTCATACTTCTTTTTCGAATTCGTGCATGCTTTTCCAACTCCGCTTTTCTTCTGTGCACTGCAACTCCACCCTCGGTTGCATAAAGCTCTTGACCTGAGTTGGCGTGACTTTACTTGAATCCGCACTTTTATGTATAGTGTCGGTCAGTCCTGTCGCTTCTACCTATAATTGCTATTTGCAAGTACCGAAACCGAAAGTGAGCCATCCCGGAGCAATCTTGGATTACGAACGTTTTACCCTCACTGGAAGAACTGCATTCCACCCAGCCAGCCAATCTCAACGGCTAACCGTGGTTACCAACCGTTGGCCTCCATCTCTCTCTCTCTCAAAACGGCGACGATAACTGATGAACTAAACAAGATAAATAGATCGCCTTCGATCGTATTTCTTAGGAGAATTACTATGCGTATCAGTTAGTTTGAGTAAATTCCACGTTCTGTTGCTATTCTCTCCAGGCTTTCACTCAATTTCCCAGCCCATTTGAAGACTCGCCCTTTGGAGAGTTTGTCCTTTCTCGAACCAGCAGATCGCTAGCTTCGTACTAAGCCAGTCTGCGTTTGAAGGTTCCAGCCTATTGTCCGACTATATTTTTCAATTCTTTCAACCGAAATGGGTATCCTGGATAAAATAGCGGAGATTGAAAACGAAATCGCTCGAACCCAAAAGAATAAAGGTGAGCACATGCTTGGAATGACTGCTGACTGACCTTTCCAGCTACCGAGTACCACTTGGGCCTTCTCAAGGCTAAGCTGGCAAAGTATCGCAGCCAGTTATTGGAGACACAAGAAAAATCTTCTGGAAAGGTAAAGTACGGGTCAGTCATTACTTTAACGAGAATAGGGTGAAGGTTTTGATGTTATGAAATCTGGCGATGCACGCGTAGCTTTAATAGGTTTTCCTTCTGTCGGAAAGGTAATGATGCGCTTTATGCCACGCAGTACTTCAGTCAACTTTGTTGAACTCTCTAACCTCAACTCACAGCGAGTGCGCATCCTATGAATTCACAACATTAACTTGTATCCCTGGGGTGATAGAGGTAAATCTGATTATGAGGTTACACAATTATCACTTGCTCTTAGTACAATGGAGCTAATATTCAGCTGTTGGATTTACCTGGAATTATCGAAGGGGCCTCACAAGGTAAGTTGTGCTTTGTTTTGTAGGAATCTATTACGAAATTGACCGCACTAGCGTCTTAGAAAGCGAAGGTAAAGGGTAAACATAGATTGTTCGATTCGCCTGAACGCCCTTCGGCCCTTTACGATACCACCGAAGCAACCCGATTGTTGCTAATTGAAGCACGAATACTTTGGTACATTGGGGGTTTTCGCGTTCTCAGGAAGCTACAGATAGAAGTGACGGATATCCTGTGCACGATAGGGGGTATACAGTCCATATGACTGGATTCACTCTTATTTAATGTCTTTTAGTGGCTAATCTAATTAGCACCTCAACATACGGTGTTCTCCATAGAGCAACCACTTAGTGAGCATCAAAGGTGATCGCTGTGAGAAGGGCGGTTTCCATAGAAGAGTATTCGGTTACGTTGTTCTAGTTCTCGTAATGATTTGTTTTTGTTACCAGATTATGTTTACGACACCTCTACACTGGGTAGAGGTGTGGCGCTTTTAGTCCGGTACGGAGGTGGCCCTGATCTCTTTCCTTTCACCAATGCTCTTGCTTTAAAATCTGTGTATGCGTCAGACTGGAATCACAACGGTCAGTGACCTACATTGCTCCTTCTTTGTTTTGCGGTCACACAGCTGCACTCTCCCACTTTATTAGGTCCTACAGGCTTCAGCGAATGGCTTAAAGTTTTAAACAAGCCAAAACTAACAATTTCGAGTCTGGTGCCTAAATTTAGTGCTGAGTTTGTTATTCATACTCACATGGTCTCTCGGAGACAGAGGGATGAATAGGTAATCGAGTACCAGGAATCTCAAGTACTCCGCTCGTTCAGGATACAAATTTTACGTCCATTTTTGTCTCGAAACCAATGTGGCATTGTAGGGACGCAAGCGAACTTCATTGCATTTTCAGCGCTGTACATAAAGAACAATTGGGCTAATGATAGCTCTGGAGGAATGTTATATCAAGTTGATATATGAGACATCACAAACATGTTTTGCCATTCCATACAGATGCCTGTAGATGCGCCGGGTGTTTGATCCAGTCTGGTTTGCAATCTTGATATTGAATGAGCACACATCAACTCTGAATAAAAAGCAAATTATCCAGTTTTTAGTTTTTGAGGTTCCACCAGCTGCACTCAGTCTGAGAGTGCGGATCATGAGGTGACGTTGACGCATAATGAGCCGGGTTTTAAGCTCATCTGTCGTCCTGCTTGCGCATGGTGTCATTATGGATGTGGCTGCTACATGTAACAGACAGAAAGATATTCAACCGATCATCTCATGCAGCAGTCGTATTCGTAGGGGGGAAAATTAGTCGCTGTGAGAGTTAGGGGGCGGTTTTTAGATTGTGTGCTCTGTTGAATTTGCAAATTCCGCCAAGTGGTTGTTATATATGCGGGTCACTCCAGGGATGTGGCAACGTAGCACTTTGGACGATGCACATGTCAGCAGGATCGTCACAGTTTCTGTTAGTGAACCTACAATCCATCGATTATACTGACAGTGCCTCCTACAATTCACCTCCCAAAATAATTTTTTTCCGGATCATCTTACTTCGGTCCTAGGTCGATTCCGATCTTTCAAATAAAGGCCAGTTTTGATTCAGAATCGAAAGAATCGGACTCGTGGAAGGAAGCACTCGAAAGCTGAGATATTGCCATGTTGCTCAAGCCTAGACAGGGGAATTCGAAATACATTAAAACTTACATAGTCTGGCGCTGCTCGGAAGCTGTATGCTGTGCGCAGTCTCACCAGGAGTCAGGCAGTTATGCCCTACTCCCTAGAGCTAGGTAAGCTTTCGTCAGCCAAGTGGGCCATTAACTCCTGTCAGGGTTCCCTAAGAAAACCCCACCATATTCCGCCCTGAGGGTTCGACTGTTGAGTCCGAAGCTACAGGCACAACCGCGGAATAAGAATCTAGACTTTCCCACCGGCTTACGGTTCAGACATCGAGTCAAAAACTCAGGGTGGGATACCTCAAACAAACCGTCCTCTTCGGTCTGGGCATTCGGGAAGTAACATCTACTTACGCAATGTAGGGGCAACGGTCAGTCTGCTCAATTTATCAGCTCTAATAACTACCCATACCAATACAACTCCATGTCTGTACCTCTACAAATTCATCGTCGATTCCTAGTCCCCTACCTAGGTAAACGAAACTTAGATATGCACTACTAAACCAAGGAATCTGTCCAGTATAGTCGCGTTCAATATCCGTACTCATTGTCTGGTAGGCTAACAGGCACATTTTACTCTCACCCTTTCCTCCTTAAAAGTCGATGTGTGCTGTGTCTCATAAACACTCATACAAGACTACTAAGGCATTGCACCCGAACACCGTCCAAGGCAGCTCATTTCATTCATAATTTGCTCTCAGGGGTGATTCAAAAGTGGCTCGCTTGCCTTCAATGGTGAGGTTGTTGGGTTGTGTGTGAGGACTAAAGGCGCTCCGCTTGGCTGGTTTACTGTGAACAGTAGAGCAGCCACACTGGCCGAGTGTATCGGTACCCACACTCAAGGACCCCAGATACGAAATCTGTCCGGTATCTCTTAATACTCTGCAACAAACTGCAGCCGTGACTGTCAAAAACATGTGGAGAACTTTCGAGACTCCTGTGGATGGTAAAGCACAGAAATATTTCTATACTGGTTTGTGGTTCCGAAGAATCGACAAGTGAAAGCTGTCTCGGTGAAGGATTCGGTGTAGGTGCTATCAGAACCGACAATTATGATCTCTTCCTCTAATTGTTTGCTGATTAGCATCTATTTACCGTCAGCATAAGGGTCGTGTTGCCTGGCGCCCCTACAACCACAACTAATCGTACACTCATTTTGACCACATAGCTATTAGATGTTGATGACTGTCTTGTGTTTAAGACTATCTCTCCCTTTGGAACACGTGTACGGATTCGGACCACGCCCTGCTTCGCACACGTGTTTCCGCTCGTTTCCTAACGAACCAGGAGATGATCAGTGATGTGATATCCAATGTCTGCAAGAGTCACTTGCCAAACAGAAGCTGTATAGATTACTACTAAGCTCGAAACAAACCGGTCAGCCAAATAAGGATTAGTTCGAGGTCCGAGGTGATATGAATCCGGCGTTTGACTGTATTCGTTCCGAAACGAAGCCACAACTCAATTCAACTTAGATTTCACATTGATCCATGTCGCTGATTGAGGCGACATGGTGGCCCCCGTAAGAGCATCAGATTATCAATGGTGGAGTGTGACGAATGGCTTTCGGCAACAAATTAGCTGTTTGTCCAATCGATGAATTGATTTGGCCGAGCTAACCACGCGCGATCGGCCTGTGTTTTTTTACGTCAGGTGATCGACTGTCTCAGCGTATATTGTTTCTTGCTGCAGGTACTCACCGATATGGTTATATCACACGATGAGTGGCGTCGCTAACCACAAACCCATGATTATTTTGTTTGCTTGTTACAAAACTTCTGTACCCCTTTTATCCTACATTACCCGATGTCATAAGATGCGGCTACTCGAACCATCGTACGTGCGTACACAGTCGCCAAACGGAACTGACTGAACTGAGACACCCTTGTCTCATGCCTTGGTCCTCAGGACGTCCGTCTGTCTGCTTTAGCTGATGCCTCGATCCAGGAGAATTGCTTATAGCCAGAACTTGACAAAAACAGGTTCCTTTCGTTTGATTTGCTATGGATTGTTGACAAGGCCTAAGTAGCTTAAACTCGAGTATATTTGGCACCCTTCTTGTGGAAGTGCAGGTATATTTTGTGAGGATGGGCGGCAGCTGATTTCATGAAGCCAGTCGACCGACTATAGATCTCATCCGCCAGGCCCAGAAAACCGAAGCATCCAGTGCGTATGAAAATATCTGAGGCTTTGTTGCTTGCTAGTATTATTGTCTGTAAACTATTATTTGTTTGTTTTTGAAGAGGCTGTGATTGACTGCATTCTTAGATGCGATTTGTAGCTAACGCCTTTGTTCCTGTTACGAGACGGTAAAGTCGGACATAGGTGTACTGCTCCTATTTCCCCCGGTTGTGAACCGCACTCAGCGGTTTCCGTTATGTGTAGCCAGTAAAATATTAACCGTCCTTGTGTTTCCTTCTGCTTCGCGTAAGCCTAGACGATCAAGTCCTATGAGGGTGGCTGCTAAGATGAACGAAACAACTGTTCGGTGCTTCCGGGTACCGATTGGCCCCACAGGCACCGCAGTGAAAATTTCTCGTATACTTCTTACTTACAGAATAGCAGTAGGCAGAAGTAGTAAACTTTTTTGAGGTGGTGTGAATCGGTGTTTATTCAGAGAATCTCAACATTAGTGGCTGCGAGTTTGAACCTTTCGTATGTCAACGCCGGTTAGGACCAGAACAGCCGTAAAAATTACCTTCACAAAATAACTGTCCGAGCAAGTAGCCTGGTAGTTCGGAAAATAAATTTAGCTGCGCTTGAGTGCAGCACAGTCATTGTTAACGCCTGAGTTTGGTACACCTGTGTGAGCGCTTCGGTTTCCATCAGAGTATCGATCCCCGAGCTATGATGTTCTGGTCATTTTTCGCGAAAGAGCCACATACTAAACAAAATAACCCAGTTATTTACAATGACCAAACTTTCCAAAGCACTAAGGGGTTTGAATGAAGGCCAGGTAGTTTTTTGCCCATGCCGAATGAAGACCATGCGTGCTTATACCCAGTCAAAACGCACTACTTTCAAGTGCATCCTACAACTCATATGACATTTAACATCCCCTGCCCGACTGCTTATTTGCAAACAAGTCGACAGCTGATAATACTGTCAAGGAGTTTTCAGCAACCTTGTGTTTCCTTTATGAAAATATACTGCGAAACCTCGGTTTCTTCATGACCTGTGAACAGTTTCATCATTTGAAATGAAGTTTAGAGGAGACTTTGGAAATAACAATTCGGGAAGGTTGTGAAATACCAAACAATAACCATAACCGTAAGGGAAACTACAAACTACGGTGAAAATCCCACACGACCGTCCAGCCTTTCCAGTGCTAGTTACTGATTAGCCACCCGTAGACTCACTGGATTCACCGGTAGATTCACCCAAGGGTTCGTGTGATACGTGCTGCTGACATCCATTGAGGGTAAACAGCTATGCTGTGCTTTGCAAAACCACTTCTACGCGCCACATGCTCCCCATTGGAAATGCCGCAAACCTCGTATCTGAAAGATAGGTTTCTAATCACCTTTAGAAATAGCTATTTGTCCCTAGTAGACAGCAAATTAACTTTCTGTGCTCCAGAGTAAAGCGTTTGCCCAGCTTTATAACCAGATGGTCACACTACCCGAAGCTTCGGTTTTCGAAAGTCAACAGTGGTAGGTATCACTCAGAGATATATCGTTCAAGGGTTGCAGTTTTTGAGCTAGTCTCCTGAACATAGCCATAAGCTTTGAAGTGAGAAGCTTTTCGGGGGTTTGCTTTAGGTGGGATATGCCCAAGTTGTAAGGCGTCTCAACTGGTAGTCGTTGCGTCGCACCTTTGCACCACTCTCTGTAACCTTAACCCCACATTTATTTGGCGCTGCTCCGGGTAAACCTCCCCTCTCTCTCTGTGTGGGATGTTTTAGGCAAAGGTCGTGGTCGTCAGGTGATCGCAGTCGCTCGTACAGCTGATTTGGTCATTATCATGCTAGATGCCACGAAGCCTGACATACACAGGTAAGCTTGCTAGTATTATTGTCTGTAAACTATTATTTGTTCGTTTTTGAAGAGGCTGTGATTGACTGCATTCTTAGATGCGATTTGTAGCTAACGCCTTGTGAGTGACAGTCTTCATACCGGCCTTGTCGGCAGTCGGTAAGACTGTGCCTCAAATATATTTGATTTTGTGCAAAAGATCTTGGTGTGTTCTCAGTGTGACCGTAGTCATTCTATGAACAAACAATTCCGTAGATAAATCCTAAGATATCTTGAGTTGTGGTGCTCCATAATGTTGTGTTCTTTAGGCACAGTATCCTCTTCACATCAGGACTTCAACTGAAAGAGAGGAATGGTACTGTTGCAGAGGAATCCATGGCCCATATCCTGCAACTGATTTGCATATCCATACCGTCGTTTTAGCGAGGGTTCATTACGGGGAGGTATTTAGACAAGCAGTAATTGTAGTATCCTGTATCCTAGGCTAACAATTGGTTTATCCGTTTTCTAGAACTTTGCTGGAGCGTGAGTTGGAAGCTGTCGGAATTCGACTGAACAAACGCAAACCGAACATATACTTCAAGGTGGGTATTCTTCTTAACTTCCATGGTCCATGTAGCTGACCTTTCCGTTGAGGGTCCAAAACTTGGAATCATGACCGCGGCTTCGTGACTCTAGTTCCTTAATAAGCCGATTGTCCGACACCCAGTGGACGAACTCCAAAACTGCCCTAATCCTTGTGCGTATTTTGTGCCGTTTACCCTATCTATGTAGCCGTCCAGCCGCGTGATCTGTAGTAGCGAACAAATGCATGAGTGAATAGCAAACCATGGTGTGTGCTAAAGCTAGTCGGGGTGGTCTAAACAATCCCTTATAACTTCTTGAAATCTGAGATATTGAGCCTCTGGACGTAGCCCTTTGGTCACCACTCTACTACATCGTTGGAGCGTGTCCTTTGAGTACATGATGCGTGCGGTAGATCAATGGTACCAGGTCTTTCGAAACATTCATTTTACTGTTCACTGATTTAATAGTCTACCGGCAGCTGCAGTCTTCGGTACAGTTTACATTTCAAACCCCGATGCACTCAAAGGTCTTTAGTCTTAAGGACGTAAATGCAAGGTCTCAACCCAGCTACACTACACGGCAACGTTGCTGCTTCGATCCATTGTTCAACAAAATGACAAATTCAGTGAGTGCAAGGACTGATGTGCGTGCGCGATTGCAGCAAGAGACAGGAATACAAAATCATGAGAACAGGAGATCAGGTGACGGTTTCATTAAGCCTGGGTTTGCACCGTTAATGGTTTCCCCCCACTGAATTCGAGCATTTTACATCACCTATTTGACGGCGGCAGAAGCTGCTCCTCCAGAGTTTTGTCAGGAAAATAACTTAGCCTCTTCCTTTTTGTTCGTTGACAGCAAAAGAAAACTGGAGGACTCAAAATAACCTCCATGGTTCCTTTGACGCGGATAAATGAGAAGATGACTCAGATGATTTTGCAGGAGTATAGTATCCTTTTTTGTTTCGTTAGTTCCACGTGACCCTTTTATTCTGTCTGGCCTCAGTTGGTTATTCATCTGTTATTTTTACGCGTACTGATCTACCGTAAGAGAGTTTTGCTACTCACGGATCCCCTAAGCCACACCAGGTCTACGTGTGCTATACGCCGGCATACCTATCCCTTGCTGCACTGACTCTTCTATTGCAGGTTTCTTACGTCTTATTTTCTTGTCATGCTATTCCTGAATGCTAATCATTTTTAGAAATATTCAATGCTGAGGTAATATTCCGCGAGGACTGCACGCCCGATGAGTTTATAGATGTTGTGTCTGGGAACCGCGTTTACATGGGCTGCCTTTATGTAGGTTGTCCGGTTACTCCTCATTCTCCTCAGGTATATAATAAGATTGATCAAATATCACTTCAAGAAGTGGACCGATTGGCACGAGAACCACATTCTGTCGTTGTCAGGTAATATTATATATACATAAATATACATATATATGCATATATATACATATATATTATCATTCATGTTTGTATACTGCCACAGTTAGTATGCCAGAATACGTACTAACTGTGATGCAAACCATAGCCTGAGAACATCATAAACGAGAGATTCAGCTGGGTTCCAGGTGAGTCTCTCGAAAGAACCAAATTAGTTTACAAATGAGTGTATATTCGCTAATTTCGTACAATTTGGTTTCAATTAGAACATAAGGTTGACGGAAACCCGGGGACTGCACCTACCTGATGAGCCCCAAGAAGGGCGAAACCGGTCGTGGGCTGTCGATGGATTTTCAGCAAAACTTATGATAGTACATTGCAAACACAGCTTGATCAGTTCGTGAGCTATATTATTTTCCAGAGCAACTCGTTTTGTTCGGCTTTTTGATAATCGGAAATATTTGTAATGCTTTCGCATCATCACCATCACCATTGAGAGCTGCATTGAGCTTAGCCGCCATTTAACCATGGGAATAGAAGACCTTAGTAAAGAATGGAAAAGTCCTATGTCCCTAGCGAAAACGATCAAAATTAGGGTACTTTCACCTTTGGACGTTTATAAACTAAACACCTCTCAGCATCATGTCAAATTAAGACACCGTTAGCAGGATTGGTGAACCTCGCCCGATGTAAGCTGGGCACACAATCACAGGCGAACCTTAGCTGGACACTCCGGCTAGGAAATGACAGCATGCGCACCACAGGGATCGGTTACGTATCATGTCCTGCAGGGCTTTCGACGTTCAAGCAGGATCACGTGAGTGCCAACCTATAAGGCGCGGATCCCACGGCACTCTAGTCGCTGCCATGTGATGGTCTATCCCCCGCGAACCTTTAACCAACAAGCGCTGGGATAAGAACAAAACGCTTTCTTGGATGGCTAGTCGTTGGGCGCCTGGACCTGATATTTTCAATCTGTTGCTCTAACGAACCGGATTGATTACCAAGTACTCATTTACGCATCACCTCCGTACTCGCTGCAGCCAGCTAACTCTTGCTCTGCTACGCAGACACCGACGATATGGAGACGCTAAAGGCTCCTCTATAACCACACGGTAAGACCGCTCTCATAGTTGTCTTGTCAGAACAACTTCAGCAACCTTTGCTTCTGAAACTAATTGTTGACTGGCGCGGAACCGGGTTCAAACAATGTTGCATTCTTTTTAGATACTGCTGCAAAGAAGACCACTGTATGGCATCGGCCATATGCTCGTTGTAGAGAATCAGAATCCTAAGACGCCACGACTTAGAGAGCCGGACCTGTAAATCACCGGACTGGGAGAGGAGACAACAAGCACCATCCAAGAATCCTGTCGGTTTACTGCATCTTTGCGCGTCAACCTAAATGCTTTAATATTTTCGGTCAGTCCTGAGCACCGGACTGTATTTATCTCGCTATCCTCTCACGTTGAGGAGGTTCCCTGTTTTCGGTGAGAAAGCTAGAAAGTCCCTTACCATCGCATTTTGCGTAGTTCCCTAGCAGGGGGAATCAGCCTGCTAGCTCCATAGCTGAAAGGTTTGCTCGGGTATGCGTGTATGCACCTGACTTCTGTTTTATTTTTCAGTTGCAATCTCAAGTTGAATCTGGACTACCTGCTTGAGAAACTCTGGGAACATTTGGACCTCATACAAGTTTACACCAAAAAGCGTGGCGGTAAGTCCCAGTTCCTGTTTCACATGGCTAATACGTCCCTCCACAGAACGACCGGATTTAGAAGAAGGACTTATATTGAGGAACGGCGCAACGGTCGAGCATGTGGTAAGCACGTTCAGTCGCAGTTGTTAAATCTGCATCCTTAGTGTCACATGATCCATCGGTCGTTGGTATCCCAATTCAAGTGTGCACTTGTTTGGGTAAGTTTACAGTCTTGTAACTCCTGGGATGCAGCCGTCTATGCCATATTCCTCGTAAGGAAAACGTCGGCAACACAGCCATGTTCTCCCTTCACCTAGAAGTTGTTTTGTTGTGTTCTATGTTGCACTGAACCACATGGATCTTTTTGGACTTTGTCATCAGCATAACATATGGCTGCCGCATAGAGTCAACTGATGCTCTGATTATCGCATCCTAGCTCGAGTTCGGATAAGGTTTGAGCTTCTGCCCAAGTTGGTTTCTGTGTCTGAATTGTCGATCGGTGCTATCTAGAATCGAGCGACGCGGCTCTAGCTCACTCGCTTCATATCCCTTGGATTTTGTATGGCAACTCTGAGTCAAAAGTAGACCACAGATATACGCTTTGATTGTTGATCTATTTCGAAGGCTGAGTTTATCCGAAAAATGGATCTCTATTATCATCTTTGCTGCTCATTACTCATTTAAGGTGTCCTTCGGCCTCCGGAGCACAAACAAATAAAACCATAAGTGTATTTTCCAACCACCACTTCCGACATATCTTAGTTAATTTCAGATTCCGAAGAGATGGCATTTTTTCGGATGCCATTTTTACGACGCCATTACCCGTCAGTCATTTTTATTTAGACGATCCCCTAAAACAAGGCTTCTGTTTGAAAGTGGTGGTCTATCTGTTTACGGATTTTTCATTTATCTGGAAAACTCATTTCATCGATAAATTTTCTGCTATCTTGAATAGTTTACAATAATGAATATAGAAAACCATGCAGATTTCCAGTAGTATAATGCTAGCCTTGCTCACCTCTTCATTCACAGGGCTCAAGCGTCAAGTTCAGTCCGCAGCACGTGGGTCTAAATCACGTCATGCACCATCACGATGTTATTCAAGTGATTAAAAAATGAGGACCCTTCTCCACTGTTCCTTCTTCGACTGCTTTCCGATACCAATGGCTTTCATATAGTTCAATAAAACGGCATATATATGAAGTTGTCTTGTTTTTCTCACATTCTGTACTTCCTGCCTGTGTAGTTTCGTCTCAACTGGTGGTTCGCCTCGTGCATCTATTTCAAGGAAAGCTATTACCCCATAGGTTTTTTTTCCAATCAGAACAAAATGTTCCAACTAGTAGGAGAGATTCTCAAGGGCATCCAGAAATATCACGTGGTCCATGTTTTACAACCACAGTGTAGCGGAAGAGGAAATTCTAACAAGAACATGGTATTTGTGCAATTTTCAACGGGGTGCTAGTGTTTGCCATAGATTTTTAGCCCATTCCGGGACTAGCGCAGATCTACCTGAAGTGGTACGGAACATGTCACAGCTTCCAATTGTCTTAGTTCACTTTGCTCCATAACCGAGTAAAAATGTTGACAGTGTGCATAGGACCACCTCTGCTGATTTATGCTACAGCATGGAAATAAAGGACTGAAATGATCAGTTTCACCATTCGAAACTTGCATTACGAAGGAAATCGTGTGAACATGAGAAAAGTGCCCCTTTTCATCACTTGATAAATCAGTAGCTGGTATTGGGACACCTTGCTTCACGACTATCTATGCTAGACCAGGATAGTGGACGATCATCTCTTTATGGATTTGTCGGGACCCTCGATGTTGCTTATTCGTCATCTATTTTTATCATATAACGGGTCCCATATTCGGCTAACTATCAATCCACCCGAAGCTTTGAGCGGAAACAAATATGAGTAAGCAACTGAAAAAAAAATTCACAAGTTGGTACTAGAAGTCCATGTGCAACAGTGTATCCCTTCGGATGACGTAATTCTCACTGGATACTCATCAGTATTCCATCCGTACGTTATTGAAAACTTGACGGTACCAGTGTAACGGTGATACTACTGATCGGGAGGCGCGCGAGTAGTATGTGTTGTTCGTAGAATTTCGCTTTGCGTCGACTGAAAAAGGGAATCCTGT